TAATGATTTAAACCTCTTAATTTATTTTGCTACCATTTCATATATAGTAGAGCATTATAAAGAACACAGCTTTAAAAATCATAATGTTACTGAARAGGAGAACTGCATTTTCCCCGCAAAAATATATTTTTACATCTGGTTCTAACTATTTATCATCAAATTCTAAAAAAGTGCTAGCTGAGGACCACCCAGCAGCTTTCAAGATTACATCAAGAGGTGCATAGCTTGCTTTGGTTTTAAAAGGTAGCAGCAGAGAGTGCACTATGTTGTTTGTTGTGAGCAGTAACCTCCAAGCAGACATGCCCATAACTGACTGTATCCATCTTCTAATAGATTTGCTAGCCCTTTTTATGGGATTTCTGATATGTCAAAAGTAAGCATGTTTCTTGTCCCCTTAACCATGGTTTRAAGGTTGAGCAAATGTAATGATTGTTCTCTGCAGTGAGTTATGTAAACATCGATATCTTAACGTTAAGTGAAAGGTCTTCTGAATCATCCATCTTACGGAGATGTTGAAGCACTACATCGACACCCCATTTCTTATTATATCTATAGGCATAGTTGGTCGATTCGATATACCCCTTTCATGGGAGTGTCTGAAACTGTTGTGGTTCAATTCAATATTAGACTTTATTGCTTGTAATTTCGGTTCATTCGATTCAGGTCGGGTCGGGTCGAGTCGTGTCTTTTTACCTACTTCACAATATTCTTCACTTGAATTTATATGATACACTTATGTTTACATAGAGTGATGCAATCGGTTGCATCACTCACGCTTATATGTCAAAACTATGNGTGTTGTTTTAACTTGTCGATATTCTGGAGGTCGAGGATCAAAGTCTATAACTTTCAAGCTAGCTTTTCTTTTCTTGTTCGGGTAGAGAGCATCCGATATTCTTTTTGGATTTTTTTTTCTTTTTTTGCCTTTGTTCCAAGCACAATCTTGGCTAGTGCATGGCGTAGATACCACGTGGCCATGTTCCTTTACATAGTCTAATAACTTCAGTAATACGGCGATTACATGGCTACATCGGCCAAGAGCCGCTGCTTTGCAAGGCTCACACGAAGCATGGATCACGGCACCACTATGGGCTGACAAAATAACTAAAACATTGTGAGGGAGCTCAGTCTTCATCGAAGGCCATACATGTGCCCGCAAATAATAATAATCATTCGTTTTGTTGTCCGTCATATCGTGCACAAAGTCAGAGTCAACGTATTTTCGTCCGTTTTTAAATGGCTTGTCGGTCATATGTCCTAGTCCACTATCACTTTCGTCTGAGTCTGAATCGTTTGACAAATGAGTTCTCGCTGGAAGCGATTCCAAGCCATAATAGTGGATATGGCCGTAGTTGAACTGCGAAGGAATGTCGCGACTCGGGTACTTCTTCCAACCAGTTGACGGTATCTCAGGTACTTTGATATTGAGCGGCTTGTTTTCTTTATCATCGAAAGTCAATTGTTCTTTTTCTTGAAACCATTTGCCTCCATCAATACTTGGATCCAACACATCGTGGTCGCCGTTTATAATACATGCTCTCACACGCGATAACAAGTCACCGCGCTTCCCCGATAATTTTAAACCTCTACATTTAAGCCAGCGTTTCAATTGATCTACAGTATAGTTCTCTGGGTCACTGAGAAACATTGAACCAGGAACTCCGTCGTTTTCGGTTAAAATTAAAGGTTTTTTTAGAGAATTAGAAGACGCGTTTGCAGATTCCACAGTCATTCTCTCTGTATTAATCACAATGTTTGTCCGAATCACGGTCGGGGGTAAGGAATGTGTGACGTAATATCCGCGCTCCGCTATTGCCTTAGTTCATTACGACGTCACACCAAAACGTTCTATTCTTTTAACGCTAAGGATTATGGTCGCCCGAAGGGATCAGAGTGACTACATTTCAAAAAAAAATGTTCACTAGCAATCATTTATACATGACATATATAAAAACACCATTCATTGAAGTTCTACTTTAGGAGACAAAATAAATGGGTCCAAATGTCCAGTTTTTTGATGAGCATCGTTTTCCGATGTAAACATACTGTGACGTCATAATGAAATAGAGCAATTGGTGTGGAATCACACTTTGAAATCTTGGTTTTGAATCTCCAGATTGCCATTTTCATGTTTTTTCATGGGATTTTGATGTCGTTATTATAGGGGAATAACCATTAAAAACCAATTAAAAAGTCATGAAAATACCATTAAAATTTTAATGGCATTTCATGGGCGCATATATAGAGTACTCAAGTGTGACGTCACAATTAATCATAATTATTTCGAATTTTTCGTATTCCTTGAAATATTCTTGAAGCGCATGGAAAAAGTAGCTATCTACCAAATTTCAGTGTCCTAGTGCCATTTTATAGCGGAGATACAAGCGATTTTATGGTCGGATGACCACATGCAAACGCTTGTAAATTTGTTCTTGCTCATAACGAAAGGAACAAGACCAAATTTACAAGCATTGTATGTGATCACCCGACCATAAAAATCGCTTGTATCTCGGCTATAAATGGCATTTAGACACTCATATTCAGCAAGGATGCATTATAGATGATGCACTTTCAGAAAGGAGGGCAAATTTAAAAACTCAAAAATTTCGTTTTGTGACGTCATCACTTGAGTACTCTATTGCTAGTGTTTTATTGCAATCTAGGCTTCGGTAGTACAGTGGCCCATATTCAACGACAGGGAAACCGGAGACCATTGCCATTGGTCGGCTTTGCATGCAACAGTAAGGTTTTTCATGCACATGCTTGTACTAGTACTCTTTCATTAGTAAGTTTGAAAGTCATAGTCCTTGAGTCTAAACAAAAGACCAAATGTGTGCG